ACAGTCATAACAGCACAGACTCACCACATCCTGTGACAGAAAACTAATCATAGACAAGGATCATAAATATACAGATTAATTACTTTGGCTCTTAGAATAAAGAGTGGTATTATAATGATTGAAGTTGTGTTATGATAATTAAAGTTTATTCACTAGGAATTGTAAATTGAAATACATGGGTTTATATGTTCTGACTTCTCCCTCTCCCCCTTCTCCCAAGTTACGCATGTAGTAGAAATTATTTAAGTTTGTTCCTTAGTTTACACTGAAAGACTAAAGAGAAACTGCCACTCTTAACAGAAGATCCATCATACAGTGTCTGTGCCATATCATCACCACTACAAGGACTCTCCTGCTTCTTTCCTGCTTTTAGGTATAATCAAATGGTTTAGAGGAAATACTGTTAACTGCAAAAAAGTGACAAACTTTTCAAAGGTTTGAGTACTCCTGATTAGAAGGAGATTTTATAAGAACTGCCTTAAAGGCAGCTTAGCTGCTCCAGAAAAGTAATAAACTAAATGACATGGTAGATTTATAATCTCAACTGGTCAACAATTTCAGTGATTTTTTTTTTCTTGAGGGGAAAATCACCTGTAGTTCTTGAGGAATGGAGAAAAGAAAAAAAATAAGTGATAGTGTGTCCACCCAGCTTGCCCTATGAATACTGAAAGCCTAAATGAAACATGTTAGTCAGCCAATTAATGAGGAATGCAAACCTGTGAGGGTCAAAGCAGCATAGCAGGTGACGGGCTGGAAGGTGCAATACTGTGTGCAGCAGAGGTGAATTGTCCGTAGGGCTTCATCTTGTTTCCTGACAATCAAATACCAGGTGTGAATTCACCTTGGTGATGAATTACAGGAGGAGAGCACCTCACTAAGGACAGGCTGGCCTAAACCTTCCTAGTGCTAGAACCAGTCTGAGCTGAGGATTTCTCACCTGTCAGGTTACTTATACTGTAGCAGCAACTTCAACTCCTCCTGTGTGATCACTTAATTGACTGAGAAATTCTACATTTCTGTGGCATAAAATTGGACGTCCATTCCATTTAAGCTGCAGCCACCTTTTTCAGGAATGTCTACTTAACACCTTACTGGATATGTCTGGATGAGAGTGGGCTGATGATTTGCATTTTAAAACTCTAACCAGTTAGGTTAACAGGAATCTTCTTGTCCTTCAACAAGTCATATCTTGAAGTGAAAAAATCTCAGTTACACAATGGTCTTAATATATTGGAACAAGTGTGTTAGTTGACATGGAAACACACATTTTCTCCTTTCAAAAGCAAGAAAGGACAAAAAAGTCTTTAAAAGATATATTAGTATTCTTTCAGAATACATAGGAGAAAACAAAAGTTGTATAGTATAATGAACCACTCCAGCCAGCATATTTCAAAGACTATCTGCTTCAAATATTTGCATCTATTATTTCTAAACAATTATGACTTCTAACATGGTACGACATTTGTATTCATTGAGGATAAAAGCCCTGAGCCTGCCAATACTTACACATGTGCTTTACTAACTTCAATCTTTTTACTGTCCTAGAGGACTAAATATGATTTCCTTTGAAGCTCATGCACAGAGGACTGATGTCAGGCTGGAGGCTGGGTCCTGCAGGCTGATCTCTATTATTCAGCTATCAAACTACGGACTGTCTTGATTCTTGTCTAGAGATAGCTTCTCCGGTACAGTAATTCTGAATATGAAAGACAACTTACAGTCATGCTTGCCTTAAGGTACACAGATAAGATTGCTTTTCAGTGGTCTTACAGCTTCTATTAAACAAAAAAATGTGGGTTTGGGGAGAGTTTTATCTTTTTTGATTTTGGCCAAATGATGAATATGTAGATTTGAACATTTTATTCCGTGGATAGATGCAAATAAGCAGGAGAGGAGGCATATATAAGCCTGTCCTCTGAGACAGAATTC